CACAATAGCATTTTACCTTTTAAAATATAATGTTGTTGTAATGCATGTATAAACTAAACTGTTCTTAGATTTTTCTTGTCTATCCTAGACTCTACACCAAAAATCTATACTTTCATAAACAAGTGATTCCTTTTCTCAATATTTCTAAACAAACAAGACACGCTTTTTGGAAACTATAATAGGTATAGTTTTACGAACAGATTTCTAACTCTTATGTACTAGAAACATATTTCAAGAAGTTTACTTTCGTATACAAGAACAAACGTAACATTTTAACAAGTAGATCTGTTTTTATACCACGGTTTTGTGAGACACTAACTTCATGTACGTTCGAGTACACATTTCAAGTCCTGTATTATATACCAGAATCCCTTGGAGGGGGAGCATGGTGTTTGTGTATAGATCTATACGGGCTTGACAACCGCGCCCTGACTGTTAGCTGCAGTCCACCGTTTGGGGTGACAAACGTCATAACATTCCAACGCCTGAAGAACGTTGTGTATAGGCATTCAGAGTCAATAGTATGGTTATAAAACTCACAAGGGGTATTAAAAATGCATTGATTTACAAGGTTTTCAAACTCATTGGTTATTTTACATTTACATACATTTTGGAAACAAACATTTGGTCTTGAGTGAAGGCTACTTTTATACTAGTAGAAAATATAGGATTTTCTAAACACAAACAAACAAAGATAAAACATTTCATTTCATTCAAACATTTTCACTTAAATACTTATGAAATTCACCAGCTTAAATGCTGATCTACTCTTTCAAAATTACTTGTATGTCCCAGGAAATTAGTAATTTCAGGTATTCATTTCGCTTTTGTTGAAGGGATGCTGCGGCGCCAGTTTAATCTCGTATTTTGACATCATATTGTAATTGGGTTTTGAACATGTAACTTTTGACAAATGTAAACTTTCAATTATATATATGATGGTTGTATTGCTTTCTTTACTATGTATTCATTTGTTACGTTACCACATGAAGTCATCCGCCCCCGAACTTTTCCGCCGTTCAGGTTTGGGGGTGTGACAGATTGATTGGATCGAAGTACGAAGGGCTTGATTGAACTGTCAGATCAGCCCAAGACTAAGGCCGAGCAACTAGCTGCTGCAGGATTGGACGTCTATCTATCTCACCATGCTCCCTACTCCTATAAAGGCCGGTAAAAGGAAAGCTCGTTACCGCAGCGCTCGTTCACCCCTTCGGCTTCTTCCATTCAGGTAGTTTTTTTCTTATTGGCAAATAGCGTCTTGAAGTGAAGCGAAGGCATTATTGAAGGAAAGAGATGGCGGGTCGGTCAAGTGGATTCTCTATTCGATTCCATCCTCGATCCCACCAAATTTAGATTCAAAAGTTTGTATCTCTTCTTTACTTTTAAGTGAGAAGGGGGTGACTTCTCTATGTCGCTGTCTCATCAATGAGCGTAGATTGATAGAGATGGCTTTTGTGCCGGTCAATCTGTATCCCATTCTTCAGGTATAGTTTTCTTTGATCACAGATTGACAGTCCTTTCTCCCCCTTTCGTCATAAGGCGTGGTCTGACTCTGAACCATTCCTGTGTTTAGGTCCCTACTAAGCATAATTCGTAAACTATGCAATGGCTATTTGAAGACTTTTGAAAAAGTTTCTCGCAAAGCAAAAAAAATTGAAAACGACCTTACGAGGTAATGCTGAGTTAAACTACTCATGTTAGCATGGAATTCAGCCCGCTGATTCCATTCTGCTACTAGGGTTCCAAACCTTCCCCTTCGCTCTATAAAGACCTTTCCAACTCAAGAGATGCTAAAGCTATTGTTAGTTGGTCTTTCTAAGTCGGAAAGAGGCCTTTGGGCAAAGAGCAACTCGAAAGTACTTGACTTCAGTCCCAGTACTGAAAGACGTGACTTCAGGAGTGGATTTCGGAAGGAAAGACTTCATGTACTTCCTGCAAATTGCTTATGTAAGAACTAGTAGAAAGAAAGTAATTTTGAACTAAATAAGGCAGCATTGATAGACCGTTGAATGAGAATGCTTGAGTGGGAATCATCTTAGCAACTGGCTATAGACATGACTAAAAGCCGCCGGGAGAGGAGAGACAATCTTTCATGAGAGAGGGACGAGCGAGTGAGAGATTGGGAAAAAAAGAGGTAGGCCTTCTGAGCGGTCATTTAGGGGCCTTGTTAGCGAGCCATCATTCTTCCCTAAGCTGCCATAGTCTGATCGAAGCGAGCAAGAGATAGAGGAATCATCGCTCATAAATGTGAATTGAGAAAGCAAGCCTTAATTCTTTTTCATCTCCTCGGGCAAGACCAATTATAAGTCGACGTCTTAACCTGACTTCCTAAGCTCAGTTGATTGTTGAAGCAGTAGCTCTGGATCGAGAGCAGGATGCTTACCGTGGGTATTCTGAAAAAGGGAAAGGCTTTTTTTATAGAGAGAGGTATAGGAGAATGGAAGACCAAAGAGACCCAACTCATATCGTACCAAGAACTTGCCATTGACCTGATCAAGCGCATTAGGGAGATCACCTTCACCCATGTTCCGAGAATAGAAAATCGCTTGGCTGACTCGCCAACCCTTATGGAATTCATACTCAGCCGCTCTAGTACACATGCTAGTACTCCGAAGCACAGAGTCGCTTGTCATCGACATCCGAGCCACAGAGAGCCCTTCCGCTGAACGGGACTCATTTCTCTTCTTGGATTAAGACTATCGGGAGTTGGAACATGATGAACTATCACCAGTCAAGACGAGGAAGATTACGAGGACAATGGGAACCATGGTATTATTCTTTCTACAATTACCTCAAGACGGGTTCATACCGGAGTACGCCGCTCATGGTCAGAGGAGAGCCCGAAGGGAACTTTCTCGACGATTTGTGATCTTGGGAGATGTCCTTTACAAAAGGTCACTCGCCCTTCCGAAATAAGGAGCACACATTGTTGAACAAGCTCATTCAAGTGGGTGCGGAGGACACGTCAACAGCCAAATGCTTGCCAAGAAAATCATGAGGCAAGGCCCCCTATTAAAAGTAAGGGTGTCAAGAGATGTCAGAAATGTAAACTCCTTTTATTTGATGGAATTTTCTTTCAAAATGCTGCATCATGTCGAATGGCGGGTCCATCGTCTATCCCCAAGGTAAGACCCCGAATGAAAAAAACGTACCTTCGAAGGCATGATTGCTGCGATCAGGAGCTGCTTAACATCATTGAGAACAGGAGATCAGAAGATTTGGTGGAGGATAAAGTCAAAAGTGAACCAACACTGGGATCTGATCATAGCCGCCGTGAAGTGTTTGGATGCAAAGGCGATGGTTTTTAGATTCAGCAAACATGAGATGTGTCCAGCACGAAGTACATCGAATTTTGGAGATATCCCGTAATGTCCTTTTTGTACCTAGATAAGGACGACCTCGAGAGAGCAGACGACCAGTAGAGTAGGTGCTCCATCTCGTTCCTGCTGTGTAGGTCTAAGGTAATTCACAGTGCTAGCAGATCAGAAGGAAGTGGGCCCTCACTCTTCTCTAATCTAATAGGGGCAGTGCTACCTATAGAATGGGAATGTTCATCCTCTCTTAAAGTCCGTTATGGATTTCAAGTCGGGAATAGAGCTGTGGTAAGCAATATAGATCACCCCTGACTCTCTCTCTATAAAAAAAAAGCCATTCTTAATTCTTAACTTAATAAGGCTTCGGCCCTATGGAGTAAAGGGAAGTGCAGATCTGGAGTGTTTGGACGATAAATAAAGGCTTTGCAGCAAGCGGAGTTGTACCGAAATTTCATTTTCCGGGCATACGAGAAAAGAGTCCAGCCGAGCATATTTGTTTGCTAGTTTCTTGATCCCGGAAATCTTGTACTTAGAGTCATGGATAAAGTGGACTACCCAGCTTGATACTTGGTGGATGACCCCCCGTTCTTTCTAGTGGCTTTTTCCCGTCCCTTTTGGGACCATTCACCCTTTTCCCAACCAAGCATAGGTAGAAGCCCTCTTTCCCATACACAACGATGGTTCCAAGCAAGATGAATAGTTTATAGTCGACTCAATATCGGCGAAATCCCCCCATTTAATATCTTGGGGATTTCACCGGTTACTAATCCAGTATCGGTATAGTAGGCCTCCTTGGCCACTCCACTAGTGGCTCGGCTTCGTCCTAGAAGCTACTGCTTCCGCCTCTCTAGGCTTCGCTATCGCTCATGACTGGTATATCTCTCTATGTAGTGGTCGGCCTTCTAGAAGCTTTGCCAGAAACGACTAGTCGCTTCCCGAATGCCCCTTTCCTTGCCGCCAAACCACTAGGAGAGTCAGCAAGCTAGCTTGCTCGCATTCTAGAAACGGTAGCTTCCGTGCCCTTCCTGGCTACTGAAATGGATGTGAATGATCGTGACAGCTCTGAAAATCCTATTCAGTCTGATTAGATATGTCACTGAAAGAAAGTGATTATGTTCCCTCTCTTTTTCTTTTTAGGATTCTGAGGATGGGCCGGCCCATCCTAACATCATTTATGAGGAGCCGGACGACGAAGCCTCCTCCTCAGAGAAAGATGTCTCCGACGCAACTCTCCCGGCAATCAAAACTTTATCTATTTATTTGTTTTTTGGCGGGTTCGGTCAGGAGGGACAAAAGAGAGATTCTATCAGTCAAAAGCAGATACCGCCCCCCCATGCTCCTACGGTCCGCTTACCGAGGAATAGAAAGGAAGGACCTGGGGCCAGAGCAAGTTGGGTTGGGGTATAAAGCCGTAAGCGCGGTGGGGGGTGACAAAGGACGTGCTCGTACGGTTCATATAAGGAAATGAAAAAGTCATTGATTGTTGGGAACTTTCACTCCTCTATATTCGAAATATGCCTTTCTAGGAGCATTACGATCTGCAGCTCAAATGGTCCCTTATGAAGTCTCTATTGGTCTTATTCTTATTGTGCGCCTTGTGAGCGTGTTTGGATCCGCAAAGGAAATCGCTCGGATGTTCCCCTAACCCAACCCGGGAACGGACCGGAGGGAACCGCAGCATGGGGAATGTCCGCGTCTCGTCGCAAGGCTCATTTTGAGTTGTGGGTTATAGGGCGGGCAACTTTATCTGATCAAGGGTCGGGGCACAAGGGTCCTAGTACTATCCAGGTGCGAAGAAGCCCAGAGGTGACTGCAATGAGCAGAAATCTCATTCACCGGCCTAAACGACGAGCAAACACTCGAATGTGAGAGCAAGGGATCACCCAACGAATGGACGAGCTCAAAGGGGGGAGGAGAGAGGGGGGCAAGAACCATGTTTTCAGAGAAGTGGCGGTCCGAATCTTATCTGAACTGTGAGACTAACTGACTAAGCCGTGCCATAAGGGGTCATTCTCCAAACGGGACGGGACCAAGCCTTTAGGTTGTTTAATTAGGTTAGGTGACAGATCGGCCATAGGAGTACTCCTGGATATAAACCAGGGAAACAAAAGTGGAGCATACGGCGTTGCCGCCCGTTTTCATTTCGTGGAAGTCCCCAGCAGAGGAAAGGGCTGTAGGTGATGGCACATTCTGTTTATTATCTAGAGTGGGGCGCTGAAATCCTTTCTATGGGCTCGTGCATGGCAGCTGGTATAGATGAATAAAGGCGGACCGAACGGGACTATATTAATATAATAGGCGGCAAAGCGGAATAGAAAAGCACAGACGAGCCACATGCAAGGAAACTTGCACGTGTGGTTCTGGCCGAGGACCCCGGTATACTGTACTAATATGTGTAGGTCCCCGTAATTCGAGTGAGATTGTCATGGCGCAAAAGCAGATATGGTCCGGTATTCCCTTGTTCCCTGTATTGGTTATGTTCTTTATTTCTTGTCTAGCAGAAACTAATCGAGCTCCGTTTGATCTCCCAGAAGCGGAAGCTGAATCAGTTGCAGGCTATAATGTAGAATATGCGCGGGATGCGATCCTTAATAGTTCACTGTTGGCGGAAGCCAATGTCCCGGGGTCCCGGGAACTCATTCTGACTGAAACAAGGGGCGGGTCTTTACCAACTTTTCAATCTGCTATTTTAGGGAAGCCAAAAAACGTAAGCGCCTAGCGTGAGCCTGAAAAGGGCCTTTACTAAAAACATAGAAGGTAAGGCCGGCTTTCGAGCTGTAGCTTTACAACCATAGGGCTTAGATAGGCCCTGAATTCTTATTATATTAGTAAGATAGGTTGCTTGAGTGCATTTTTACCCTTTCTATTAGTAAGGTTGTCGTATCGATCAAGGCTAAACTTGAGTTTGATTGCAGGGCGCGCGTTAGCGCTTTACTAATAAGATAGAAGGGGCTTTTCTTGTTTAGTAAAGTCTCGCTTTTTTATAGGAGTAGGTGCGGGAGGGCACTCTTCATTCGAAACTAATGAATGTCAGGTCAGGGCTTTCTGCCTTGTTATCAAAAAGGGGGTTGGGTAAAGCAAACTCCCTCCTTGGACGAGCACGGGCTTAGTCAAGTAGAACCAGGTTGCGCTGCTGGATGCTCCGATCGAAAAGAAATCAGTGGGGCCATGCCGGTACGACTGAATATGTGTTAGAAAGGTCAATCCCTCCCCTACGACAAAAAAAAAAAGCGGGCCGAACTTCTAACAGTCCGCCTGCTTCCATAGAAAAATATCGTGGCAACGTAGACCTAAGTGAAGTGGTCATATTGGATCCTTGGGAACCATCACAAGTACGGCCGACATCTATTTATTTAAACGAGAATGCCGTGTCGTCTAGCGGAGCCTAGAAGAAGATGACTCGCGCAGACAGCTGACTCCTTTTCAATAGAAAAGAATAGCCAAACCAACCCAGCTGGCTGGTCAATCTCAGAAAGAAGATAGGCCAGCAAACCGGAGACGTACGACCACGGTCCCGACCTTACCAGCACCGGGGGTGTACTAATCAATGAACCCCCGAAACCTACTTTCTTTTCTGACAAAATCAACCAAGCCTAACTGGTCACGACATGTTGATATTGATTGAGTTGGAGGGACTTTCGATTACGGAATCCATCCATAAACCTAGACCCCGATAACCTTCGTAACCAAAGCGTCACGACAACATCCAAAGGTCACCCTTGGATTCTTAGGGGGGCAAGGAAGAGGCTGTTATGTTAGTTGTAGCGCGCCTTCCCTCTTTATAACACTTCGGAAAGATTTTGCAGTCTTTTCTTATGATGACCTGGTCGAGAGAGTACGATACATCGGTGTAAAAGATTGATCCCTTTGGATCTTCGTCCATGATGGCCTTTTGATTAATAGAACTGGAAGAGGAGGAAAAGAAAGAGCTTATGATGACCATCTATTTGAGTCAATCATTTCGTAGATCTAATTCAAGTGTTTTTTTTTTTTTTGCAGTGGAAAGGCCTTAAAATTTGAAGTTTGACGCTTAAAGGAAGAAATGTTCTTGGTGGATGCAGGACTTGGGACCGCCATAATGAGTATGCAGGATGAGCCTAAAGGAGTTCCAATCAACCGAGCCACCAGGTTTGAGAATAAGGTGGGATCCCTGGATCTAGTGGCCAGCGAATCACTGATCAAAAAGCATATTTTTTTTTTTAGATTCTTCATGGATCTAGTGGCCGGTGAATCACTGATCAAAGAGCGAGCTACCGCCAGGTTTAATGATTTGGTGGGATCGACAGATGCAGTGGCTGGTGAACCGCTTCTTCTTCTTCCACGAAGATTCACACAAAACCGAGCTTGGATGGAACTAAACAAGATTTGGCGAACAAATAGAAAGGTCAAAGGCTTTTATTTTCTAAAGTAAAAGGAGGTTATTCAGTAGCCATCGCAGGTTTCATTACTTTTATTCCATTCCGTCCATAAACCTAGACCCCGATAACCTTCGTAACCAAAGCGTCACGACAACATCCAAAGGTCACCCTTGGATTCTTAGGGGGGCAAGGAAGAGGCTGTTATGTTAGTTGTAGCGCGCCTTCCCTCTTTATAACACTTCGGAAAGATTTTGCAGTCTTTTCTTATGATGACCTGGTCGAGAGAGTACGATACATCGGTGTAAAAGATTGATCCCTTTGGATCTTTGTCCATGATGGCCTTTTGATTAATAGAACTGGAAGAGGAGGAAAAGAAAGAGCTTATGATGACCATCTATTTGAGTCAATCATTTCGTAGATCTAATTCAAGTGTTTTTTTTTTGCAGTGGAAAGGCCTTAAAATTTGAAGTTTGACGCTTAAAGGAAGAAATGTTCTTGGTGGATGCAGGACTTGGGACCGCCATAATGAGTATGCAGGATGAGCCTAAAGGAGTTCCAATCAACCGAGCCACCAGGTTTGAGAATAAGGTGGGATCCCTGGATCTAGTGGCCAGCGAATCACTGATCAAAAAGCATATTTTTTTTTAGATTCTTCATGGATCTAGTGGCCGGTGAATCACTGATCAAAGAGCGAGCTACCGCCAGGTTTAATGATTTGGTGGGATCGACAGATGCAGTGGCTGGTGAACCGCTTCTTCTTCTTCCACGAAGATTCACACAAAACCGAGCTTGGATGGAACTAAACAAGATTTGGCGAACGAATAGAAAGGTCAAAGGCTTTTATTTTCTAAAGTAAAAGGAGGTTATTCAGTAGCCATCGCAGGTTTCATTACTTTTATTCCATTCCGTCCTCTCATAAGAGGAAGGATATCGAATGATCAATTCACCATTGAGAGCATTCAGCCCAAAAGGACGAATATTGTGGTGTTCTAACAGCAGCAGTCAAACGGGGGCGTGAATGCGAGATGCCAGCGGAAAAGAAAAGGATATAAGCTGGAGACTGGCCTATATTCCTACTAATGTGATCCCCATTACTTAAAATCTGTTCTACACTACGATATATTGCTCTGATGTTTTTACAACTATCTTTTTTGAAGCAGATAGTTCACAGTGCTCATTCTATCGATACTGGGAAAGAAAAAAAAGAATGTTTACACTCAATTTTCATTACGAAGATGTATCACGTCAGGATCCGTTGCTCAAACCGAATCACGCCAACGTTATGGAAGTTCTTAGATCGTGTAAAATAAGAGTAGTACCAAAGGCACCACCCTCTGATTTCATAATAAAAAATGGAAAATTGGCTATGGAGATTCCGTGCGGTCAGAAATTAATACAGACACAAAGGGCTTCGACAGGAAAGGAGTTTCGATCCAATCGATTATTGGGAAAAAATAAAGACAAAAAAGGGTATGTCAGTGACCTAGCACGGCAAAGCACTCTTCGAGGGCATGGAATGTCTCATTTTTTGGTAAGAATCTCCGCAGTAATGTCTCTGTTAGATTTTCCGGTCGAAATACGGGAAAAGTCCATTCAATTCTTGATGGAAATGGAGTTTTGAGAATTCTCCCCGGAACTGGAAGATCATTTCGAGATCTTCGAACATATTCGAGGGTTCAATGTCACTATTGTAACTTCGGCCAACACACAAGATGAGACTTTACCACCGTGGAGCGGCTTTTTTCAAAAAGATGAGGGGGAAAGTCAGTAAGATGTCGGAGAAGCAAAATATACGAGATCACAAACGTAGATTGCTCGCGGCTAAGTATGAATTGAGACGAAAGCTTTATAAATTTGTAAAGATACCAATCGATCTACTGATATGCGGGACAAACATCGTTAGAAGTTTCCAAGAAAGAGTTCCTTTGCACTAGTAAGAAACCGATGTATTTCCACGGGTCGCCCTCGTTCCGTATATAAGTTCTTTTCTTTCAAATTTCTCGTCTCGTTTTTCGTGGATTAGCATCTCGAGGTCCTTTGATGGGCATAAAGAAATCATCTTGGTAGCATCAAACCAATAGAACAAGGGTTAGCTCTGCAGCTGGTCTACAAGCAAGGTAAGTAGGTCCATGCGACCGGCCCCGGATGTACCCTTTAGCCGCGAGGGGAACCGGGTAAACAAAGTCGCGATCAGAATGAATGGTAGTTCGCTGGGCCTGTCTTTTGCTCCCAGAGGTGCTGGTTCGAATCCAGTTCATGACAACCACAAAGCCTTTGATCATAGAATATCTCGGGACCCCCGCTGGTAAATACGGGGCTCTGGCAGCTGCACTTTTTTTTATATGATGCATCGAATGCTTCCTCTGCTTTCAGTAAAAATACCAAAAGCCTATTCTCGAGGCACTCTTTCTCTTATAGCGCTCTTTCCTTCCCTTCGAGCTAGCCGGAAAAAATCCATTTCTTTTGTCTGTAAGAGAAAAGGCGCTTATTCCATGAAAGAGGAGCGCAGCGGAGTCATGAACAAACAAGAATAGCCACTTCCTTATCTACGCTATTGACTTTCCTCCCCTCGTGGGAAGTAGCAAGAGCCTTTATCTAATCTACTATTGAACCATCTCACCTGAAAGTCAGTCGCTACCTTAAGGCATGCCTTGACTCCACTCGATGGGACTTGCTTTCCTAAAGAGAAGACGAAGAGGATGACACTGGGGATCGTTCTTACTTAAAGAAATTCCCATGAGCTGCCTTGAGCTGGTAACTCAAAAATCGATGATTCTTGGCCACTGACTTACTGCTTTCACTCAAATGCCACTGATGCGTAAGACATTGAGTTGGACTACTTTCCTTCTGGTAATGCCTTTCCCTGTGGTCACCTTGCCCTTCTACTTACTGGCTTGGCTATTTCGAAGGATTCGCTTCGGCGGGTGATTTAACTAAAAAAGAATTTTTGAAAGTGGCACTCCTTCCTTGCTTATTACCCCGTAGTGGGATATTTTTTGACAATCGGTCGTAGATTCCCTGGCTTGGCTAGGAACCTAGTCCCTTCTTGTGACAACAGAAGAGAAGGAATTGCCTTTTTTCTCTCTTTTTCGCCTTTGGCCTGGTCAAAGCAAAAAAGCCACTACCAACTATGATTTCCACGAAATGCTAGTCGAAGATCCACTATTTACTTATTTCTAATAAGATAGGACCATCGGAAAGAAAGTCAAGTCGAATCCCGTGCTTTCGGGTGATTCCGCATTCAAATGCTACCCACGTGAATGCTAGTCGAATCCGTATGCCCAAACCACATAAGATAAGCTAAGCAGCTAGATCGATTCCAAACGTGTGATTAGTAGCTGATGCAGAAAAAAGAAGAACAGCTTCTTCTTCTATGATGACATCTGCAGCAGATTCAATGGCCTCGGTTTACACATTCTTTACTTGAAAAAAAGAGTGAAGTTAGAAGGATTCTCGTCAGAAGGTCAGGTCAGAAGTGGATTCCCGGTACGATACTAGGCTATGATTCCCGGGGAGAGAGAGAACTCTTATAAGAAAATGGGCCTTGAGCCTGCTTCATCGCCTTGACTTGATTCGGGTAAGTCAAAGTAAGGACTTTGCTTTTTCAAATCCCAGACAGGAAGGAAGTCGAAAAAAGATCTGCTTCAGGATCAACTGAAGCAGAAGAAGAGACCTTTTCCCCTTGGGGAATGAAAAAGATCATCTTTCTAAAAATGAAATAAGACGTGTTCACTCTGTAAGAGCCCTTGGTCTTAGTCTTAAAGAGAAGGAAGCCGGCAATAGCACGATAGCAAAGAGCAAAGAAAGCTAAGCGCGCAGAGAGAGCAGCATATAGCGCGAAAGAGTCCAAATACAAGAAAGGCAGAGCGCGAAGCTTGTGGTCCGTTCCTTTCCCAACTATAGTGGAACTTGCCCGAAGGAAATCTTTTATCTTCTTGCCGGGAAAGAGTTTGATTACCAAGTTCGATTACCATAAGTGGAAGTTCAAACCTTATATCTCCGATATATAGGATATAATGTCAGAAAAAAATAAATTTTGGTAGATAGTATGGCTTGACAATGTCGAGCTAAGACTATCGCGAAGTAAACATAGGGTCTGTCTCAGCCTTGACTATGGAATCTGATTTCCTAGCGACTATGTTCCCCTTTTTTCCTGCAGTCTTTCCAGCTATGGATCCTACAATTCCCTATGAAGCTCCCTGACAACCCCTTCAATCCATCTTCATCTTGGCTGGCAGCCTAGATTGAGCCCTGGGACTGATCTTCCCGTTGGCTTTACTGCAGCAGTACTCACAGTGAAAGGTCAGCGGGGGGCATAGCGAAATTCCTCACCGAGATGACTGGACAACCTATCGACCAGATCGCACCAGCGGAGCGATTCAAAGCCTCTTTGGAGCGAATTCCTTTGAAGTAGTTAGTGCTCTAATTGAGTGAGCCGTGGATCATAAATGATGAGCGTAGCTTAATTTAGCTGATCTCACACCGAACTATAAATAAATAAGTGAGTGGCTCTTTATAGCCCAATGGCTACCACCGGAAGTGCGCTAAGTTAGTCACAGGGGAACCCCAAGTTCTTTCTCCGACTCTATAAAATAAACTTGGATGGCTTGCTTGCTTGTTTAGCTTGCCCCCTCTTTGAATGTGTACAATTCGAGCAAGCAAATGGCTAGCAGGGCCGAGGAACCACAATGAACGGGACGACAGAAGTTCCACAAGAATATGACCAGAGAGATATGTTCTTCTTCGTGCATGCAGGTCTGGTTCCTGAGAAAACAGATATCTATTAGCGAGTTTCGCCGTACAATATATAACCCGGGACTGGCTGAAATGAATGAATTCTCATGGTTTCCGCCGGCTAATAGGGCGAGCAGCGTAATGGGGGCGGACGACGTGAGTGAGAGCCCAGACCATAGCGGCTTTAGAGACTTCTCTCTCGGCGACGAAAACGTTCTCCGGGAGGCTTTCCTTTCTGCTTTACTGTGATTTACCCATAACCATCAGCGGCAAGGATTATGGAAGAGGCCAAACCAACCCAGGTACACCACAAGTAGATACGGTTGGAGTAGCAGATCCTATAGAAACAAAGACAAAGCCCGAGGCAGATCCAGACGCGTACCTAGGTGGCGCAGCATCCCTTCGAGTTGCTTGCCACCCCTTTTATCCTTTCTCCCTCCTCCGGTCGCCTCGTTACCTTTTTTGCTTTCTCACATTGACTTCTTTCCGCTTTTTCACTTCTTTTCCTTTGATTCAGCTGTATTAGTAGCTGATGATTCCTTTTTTCCAAGTGTGTCCGATTGGTATCACTCGCATAAGACTTTTCCTTTATTTGTAGCGGCCATGTGGCATAGTCCATCTTTTCCTTCTATTTTTCCCTCAAAATAGAATATATACTTGCCTTTGTACTGATTTGAATATATGTAGGAAGGCTTAGTGGAAGGGCGGCACCCTCTTCAGAGGTGCCCGAGGGGCACGGTCTCTGTCTTTGACTTGGCCTTCGGCCTTGAGAACACAATGATTTCGGACTTTCTCTTTTCCGAGCCTTACTAGGCGCGTATTGCTTTCTTGTCTTTTTTAGCTTGAGGTCTATATAGACGATCTGACTCTTTGTCAAGTGAGAGTAAGAATTCTCCTATTGTGATAGCGGTTAGTGGAACGTGCAAGATAGGGCCAGCTAGGCGAGCAGGGTCAAGAAAGAAAAAAAGTCGTAGGCAGAGATGACTAAGTGAAGAAGGCCCTACCCCTTATTCATTCAAAAAGGGAGTAGCGGAGAGAGACGTTCCCGAAAGGCACCTATCCGTGGGAGACAGAAGATGAATGGGGAGCCGACTAGAAGACAGATAAAGGAGCAGGCTGGAGCGGGGCTTTAGGAAGAAGGGGGCCGGAGATGGACTTGGATGATGGAAAAAGCGGTCTTCCTCGCTTGCTCCAATGCTTGGTGAATCAGTCAATGGAAAATTGCTAGCGATCTCAGAAGCACAAGGAAGCAGAAGAAAGAAGGCCCGCCAGAAAGAGGGGAGACCCCGGAACGATGTATGAAAGAGACTCTTGAAAGCTATCGAAGTGGACAATAGAGTGCTGCTTCTTATGAAAAAGCCCTCAATGCTGTGTGAAAGAGTGGCGGGGAATGACTGGGCTCAGGAGTAAAGTCAACATAGTGTGGAAAGTGGGGTCGACCTTCTAGTGCCTTGTAGGGAAAGAGAGGTTCTCTAGGCAGATAGAGAAGGAAGGGCCAATAGAGAAGAATGTTGAAATGAGAGTTGCATTTAGTAGCGCCGGCGCCTCATCCAAATGAGACTTGGAAAGCGAGATAGGGCCTAACTGGGAGGCAGGAAGAAGACTACACGAGTGGTTCGGGACGGAATCTCTTTGACTTTCTGGTGCCATAGCTTCGACTCCACCCCAGAAATAGTAATAGGAGGGAGCCGCTACTTCACCGGGAGATCGTGATGAGGCAAAAGGGGGCTTTATTAAAGTCCTCTGGGTCGTCCACTAAGTGAGTGAAAGAGGTCTCATTGGGAGAATTGGGAAGAGAGAAGGCCAGCCTCCCACTATGTGAAAGAAGAGCTTTTTCTCTCATATTCACTTCTATAGAATATATATAATAGGTAGTTCGCTTAGCCGCAGCTGAAGCCATAGATCTTGCCCGGGATGCTCCCAAGGTTCATCGGGACATTTTTTTCAACAACTGAACTAGCATCACCGTTCTTAAGCCTAGACTTGTTTTGGGGTTCCAAACCTCCTCCTATTGCCTTTACCCAGCGGCAAGACGCTTAGTTTTGTCGGAAAGGGAATGCTTATTCCCCTCTACTGTGCGGGTGCTAAGACTAGGCGAAGAATTAAATGAATCAGTTCGCTTGACCAACCCGAGCCTTCGAGCCTATAGTTCTTCTGATTTGGCTAACATCCTTCGATGACAAGCCGACCGAAGGAAGACGCACCGGGAGCCTACTTCTATCTCATCAGAAGCAGGCGCATAGGCTATAGAATATAGAATCCCACCTTCTACTCTATCAGCTACTCTAATTTTGAGTTGGTCATAGGTTGACAGTTTTCGGGGCTCACTTTTCGGGTCAGAACTATTGGAAGACGAAAGATAACTTATTTAGACGAATAGTGTGCCGATGCCATTACCCCCAAAAAGCCTACATTAGCAGTGCGGGTTAAATCAGACAGAAACCAAGTCCAAGAAGACCGAGGAGGCCTTGGGGTAATAGAACAAGGGAGGAAGAAAGGAAGGAGCTTCGGCTCCAGCTCCGCAAAGGTAGACTTTTTCCAGGTTAGCTAGAGAGAGCGATATTCATCTTTTATAGCTTGTTTACCGGAGGCCTCGTTTTCAGGTTTGATAGAATAAAGAAGTAGAATAGATCTCTCTTCTTAAAGTATACAACACTTCCCGCAAGGTTCACACCGCGGAAAAGGTGAAACGTCGTCTCTGTCAAATAAGCTATGATACTCTGGTAATACCTGTTGCTGATCCTCATCTTGTACTTGTGAACAGCAGCAGAGGCCGCATATGATAGGTTATTCCAGAATCAATGTGAATATCGCCGAATAGGAGACTTCGTTGCACAATCGTGAGTCCCTTGAATATAGAGAGAAGTTTGACTTGTAAAAAAAGACGTGAGTGTCCCTAAAACTATGCCCTTGTTCTAATAGTACAAGCTCGCTATAAATCCAGTTTTTTGTATATAGATAGAGAGCCCCTAGCCCGAGAGACTAGTTCTCTCCAGTGTCTTTGACAACTATATACGAAAGAGTACGATAACAGGCCTTTCAGTGCCATCGAAAGAGCCTAACGCCTATATCCTACCAACCTCAATCTGCACGTCCGAAAGGGACCCTCTAATTCTATCATTCAGAAGCCTCAGGACCGTATCCATGAGGGTACAAAGATTTTTTTGAGGCTAGCAACCGATAGCAACTGTAGCATTAGGATCGACATTGGAAGATTTTCGTCAAGGTCATACTTAAACCGTATGATCCTTATAACTCATGATAGTTTGACTAAGGAAGCATGCATTGGAGCTTACTTGTTCTCAAAACAGGTGGTCAGGCTAGTACGGAAGTCGGTATTTTGATTCACATCACTGTATCTAAAACAGTGTTCTTCATCCCGCTTACGGAGGTATTCCGAAGCCACCCGAATTGTTGCCTGTACCAGTCTCCCTCAATCGATCAGGGTATCCTCGTATCATCCCTCTCATCGCCGGATGATGATGCGGAAGGATGACCGGGCGGACGTTTTAGTTAAGCTCTATCTGTCTCTCGGGACTCGATCGAGTCATTCTTGTGTGTACTTGTCATTCGTAATGGTTTTAGTAACTCTTTCTTGCTTTCGTCACTTGTCATTCAGGTACTAGTATCTGTAAATCAACTCCACTCTTTCTTGTACCTGGCACTAGTAAAATTGTATCTCGGTTCATGGCATGTTAAAACGACTCTATCGGCTTATAGTCATTCCTGGCACTCGGCGCATGTCTTTGATCAACACCGGTTCCGTCACTCGTATCTGGTTGAACCAGTACTTCCTTTCTGCCGTTCCTAGGGACCACCCACTCCCGTTCCTTGGTTGTTGGTGTATTGGCTCTTTGGTTTGGTTCCCGGTCAAAGCCGTGAAAGCAAGATAGGGTGAACACATCTGTATCGTAATATGGGTATGAGTATAGTATATGTACAAACAGGTAAGTGAACTACTCCTTCGACTGGTCTGCCCGCCGTTTGGTTTGAGGGCCTACATCGACTAGGCCTCCCGCTGACTGAGGGAAGCGATCTGTCTTAAACAAGAAGATTTTCCGGGTGAACAATGAGATGGCATGTGAATGAGTGATATGGGGAGAAGGAATCAATTCTTGTACGTATGATATGGGGTCGGTACGATACACATATGGTGAACAGTCAAAGCGAGGGATGGGGTCTAGTTAAATACGATATGGGGAGATATGGGATACAGCTAATGTCGATAAGGAAGGGAGGGAAGGAGCTCTTGCCTTCAACTCAGAGCAGAACGTTCCTTCCGCAACGCAAGGCCTATTTGCTTTCGTAGCAGCCAAGGATGAGTTCGATCCATTAGGTTCTTCTATTTGTTCAGAAAAGAAACGAGAGACAAGAAAACATCTTTGATTACGATTAAAAGGAACAATCTAAAATAGACCAAGATCTATCTAATTTCGGGTCATTTCTTGGTGAACATGATCTGCCATAATCTCTTCGATCCCTTCATTTATGTGCCAGAATAAAGAGAGATTTGGTAGGAAAGTGGAAGATACTTTTTTTATATGATAATCAAAGGGAGTGGGAAAGCTGCAGTAATTCTTTGGAAAAGCCCGCTTCTCTTTGTCTTCGAGCTTGAATTCTTCAATCCACTGATTCGTTCCTTCATATACCTCCCCACCAATAGATAGAGACAAATGGGAATAACCGAACCACGTCTACAAAATGCCAGTACCATGCAGCTGCTTCAAAGCCAACGTGATGCTCCTTGGTCAGATGACCAAGATATTGGCGAATACCACATATGATCGAGAAAAGAGTACCTATAATCACATGAAAACCATGAAAGCCAGTTGCTAAGAAAAAGGTAGAACCATAAATACTATCCGAAATTATGGGGGCGCTTGATAATATTCCATTCCTTGAAAGGCAGTGAATACTAGAGCCAGTGAAACGGTAGCTACTAAAGCGTAAACTGCTCGTTTTTCCTTCCCCGCGAGTATAGCATGATGAGCCCAAGTTACGGCAGCTCCGGATGAAAGGGGAATAAGAGTATTAAGAAAGGGGTTTCCCGAGGATCTAAAACCGCAATCCCTTTCGGGGGCCAAATACCTCTGATCTCTACCGTAGGTGCCAAAGAAGAATGAGAAGACGCCCGAAAAAGAGCAAAAAGGAACATAACCTCCGAAACGATAAACAGAATAAACCCATATCGAGGTCCTAATTGTACGACTTTGGTATGATGTCCTTCCAATGTGGATTCACGTAGAACATCGCGCCACCATACGAACATGGTATATAGGATAAAGATTAGGCCCAAACTGAGAAGTGTTGCACCCCCTTGAAATGAGTGCATGTACATCACACCTCCTACGGTGGTTGCCAAAGCTCCGAGTGAACCCGAAATAGGCCATGGACTTGGATCTACCAAATGATAAGAGTGCCTCTGAGATTCAATCATAAACTACTTTGCCTCGGTTGCATGTAAACCCCCCCTTCACCCCCGCCCCCTAAAGAGTCAATTTGCTTTTATTGCCAAGAGAATGGGATTAGAGACGAAGCTGCCCTATTTACGTAAGAGATCTAAGAGATGGGAAAGTCAAAATGTATGGCTCTACTTTAGGTAAAATCCATTAACTAACTCTTTTAAGTTCCTATTCTAGATTCTTAATACATGATGTGATAATATTACATTTAATGTTTTGTATGATCGAAAAAAAGAAAGGAAGCTTAAGGAAGAAGTGAGCTGAATCTAATCGTGAAGAAATGGATTTCGATCGCATTGCTTGAAGATTAGATTCTTAAGCTACTACTTGGAGTTAGAATAGATTGCTTAGGAATATGTAACAACATAGTTTTTCAATTGAATTGCATTGTAAGGACAAATTTTTCCGCAATAAAATAAAATTTGATTTTATATTATTTATTTATCCTTGCAATGGTCTGTATGAAAAATTGATGTTTGTAAGTTTCTATTATTAGCAATAATGGATTTGATTCTTAATTATGTTATTTGTGGAAAAGTCAAGAATTTACCAAATAGGGAAAGTTTCTCATCACCCAAGTTTCAATTGGACATAAACTTTGAATTATACAACTTCGTTGCATGATGAATGAGAAATTTCATATTTGGAAATTAGACTAATTCATTGACAAAGTGTCAAGTGAAGGACTAGAAGATCGAGTACAAAAGGTTGTGTGTTGATCAAGTCCACCACAAGAGTGACAAAGATATTCGTCATGATTTACTAAAGGTTTAGTAAATATGATTATACTTATAAGATTAAGTGTAATTCCAAGTTGATTGAAAGAGTTTAAATCAATAGCAGAACGAATAAGAAGAATCAAGTAGGCAGAAAGATAAAAGTTTCTCTATTCTAAGAAGAAGGGAGAGTACCTTTTATTATGTTTTATGATTGGTATTAATGATTAAGAACCATATCTCAATTGATCCTCTAAGTGAGTCTTAGTGCAATTGTATGTCTGAGAAGAGGAATCAAGAATTGAAGAAATGGTTCAATCAAGAAGTCAATCATACTTCGTTCCAATATCAAGTCTTAGAGTTAAGATTGTGAATTGAGTGACAAGTCTTAAGAAGGTTTATAACATTCATCAAATGTGGAATTTGAAAAAGGTTTTCTTATTCTTGCACATTTGAAATTGGAAATTTGTGATTTCTTGGATAAGACAAAGAGTAACTAGGACCAATTTTGTGAAGTGTTTTGTCTTGATAAAAGCTGCACTAACTCTTGAATATTTGTTTGTCGAGAAATGTTTATTGACAAAAGAATCCTATATGTTAAGGAGCCAGTGGGAGTCTTAATGGTCTTGAAAAGTTTCAAGAACTAATCAAGAATAAACCTTATCGATCATCACTAGCACACGACTTGAGGTTTACAACCTATCGTGTTGACACTATCTTGTTTCTATGTGGTTCCAGTTGAGTTAATTATGCATGTGAGTTCTATGAGTTCTCAATTTGAACGTGTAAAAGGCAAACACTTTGATCAATGAAAAGTACATTGATAGGAAAGGGTGAGCTGCTTAACTACTTGGAAGACATGGTGGGTAGCCGTGTTACCATAAGGCAAGAGATCAAGATTGAGAAGCTTCGGTCCATATGAGTTTGGATTTGTTGCAAACTTTGGTTTTCACAAATTTGCATGATTAAGAACACATACACCATTAAAATATAAGTTTCATAAGATTCCCTCCTTCATGAAGATGACTATGAGGAAATGCTTTCACTAAGAGAGATTTTTAGAAGATAGTGATTGTGAAATTGTATTCTCGAATTCGATTATGGTTACGGTATCCCTTTCCATAATTAGAATTGTGAGATTTGGCAATTAGTCTGAATTGTTTAAGACACACATATGAGCTATCTAAGGCAAAGGTGTATAAGTTTAAGAAGCTTAGATAAAGGATTATCAAAGCATCAGGTATTAGAAATATGAACTTCATAAATTCAATAAGTATTGTTTTCTGGAAGTTCAGTTGTTTTCTAAAACATGTCAAAGCTAGTGGGAGCATAAGTGTTATGCTTATACGATAATAATCATCATGATAGTGGGAGCATAAATGTTGTGTTTGTATGATTATTAAGGCAAGTATTGCAAGTCAGCAATATTAATTCTAGAAAACAAGAGTTATACTTTGCAAAGTCGTAAGGATTGAATAGTTGTTTTGTTATAATTAAGGGAGAGAATATTATGCTTCATTTCAAATCTAATGGATTAGGTTGTGGAATGTTAATAAATTTAGTCAAGGATACATAGCATGTAAGACATTATGCATCGTATCCCATACGCTTCGGGTTAAGGATCGATTGCAGATGCTATAAAATTTGACCATTCTAAAATTTTCTAAATGTCTAGCGCTTTAAGAGGGAAAATGGACAAGAATCGGTTTTTGACTAAGATAATTAAACAACTATCAAAGGACAATCCAAAGCTTGCTGAGGATTGGTTGCTTGTGAGTAGTTGGAAGTATGGTATTGGATGGATCATATCGACATTATTATGAATAGATAAGATTCTATTAAGAATGAATTGTCATATGGCAAATATGGAAATGTTTCCATATTGGGAGTTGGATATTGAGAATCTATATCTAGATTAGAAATTTTTATGCAAGATGGATGTTCAAAGGATTGTACTTTAAGTGAGAGACATCATATCTATATAATTGTTTCTGATAGAGATTAGCCAAGTCTTGATGATTTTGAGCTATGACTTTACGAAAGAATCATTGCATAAAATGTAAGAATCAAGCATAAGTAACAAGAATTTGATATTCTTATACTTATGATAAAGATTGGGAGTTGTGAAATGGGTATGATTGGAAATGTGTTCATTTGATCTATTTCACAAAGTAAGGACCGTAGGTAAACATTGTGTACATGCTGAGAGCATGGGACAAGTGTAGTAATAATTAAAGTAAGAAGTTGATTACCCGAAACAACAAATAATGAGTAATCAATATGGTGATTAAATAAAATGTTTTATTTATACCCAGAGTTTGGGGCCATATGGGATTAGTATTATTCTTGTGTTTCACTTTGCATGTTTTGACTTCCTGAATAATTAAATTGGTTCAGAACAATCAAATTATTCGAACGGACCACAGTCGTTCATATGTTGGAAGTAGGTATGAATGAAGACTGTCGTGACTTGGTGTGTGGATTGTCTAAAGTGTATTAGACATAAGCAAATGTTTGCTGCAACGTTCACGAGTGCTTATGAATATGATTTGAGCATTGGATTAAACCCACGCTCACTTGGATCACTTCATGGATTTTATCACGAGTGATTGGTGAGACGATAATATCTTATATTCTTGAAACCAAGATGTGTGAGTTGTATCTTGCGAGTCGGTTATACATTGATAATATGCAAACGCACCAGTAACTTGGTGTCATAAAACATATTGTTGTGTGTGCTTCGGTGAGTGAGTGCAAGCAAGCATTGAATCAAATTTTATCCGTTCCTTTTATCCAAAGTGGGATGAAAGCGATATCTGTGGGCCCCTCAATGATTTAGTGATGGCACCTAAGCGCTTGGCCAAGCGGGGACTAATTTGATGTGTTCAATTGTAGTCTGTTGTCAGTCGTCATAAATCGGAAATCGGGAAACAATATAGAGAGAATTATTTAAATCCATTTCTCAGTCTATACGATATCTAGAATGGAGGAATATATGATCCCTTATCTAAAGGACACGCTTCTGATAGGATCAGAGTTGACAGCGGTTTTTGAAAGCTACGATTGTGTATCAGGATGTGAAGTCATATGCATAATAGTTATTAGACTTATCCAAGTGGGAGACTGTTGGATTAGTGTCTAAGTCCATAACTATTTTGGTATGTACTTGACCCGATGGTGCATGGTCCTTTTAGGTTGCCTTCATCAAAGCAACTTGATAAGATGAATTATGGAGAGAGAGGAGTAATTATGATTTATTAATATATTATGAGAATAATATATTAAAGGAGAAATCATATTGTTTAATTAATATTAGTCAATAATTAATAAGAATTAATTTTGTGGCTAAAAGACATTAATTAAACTTAAGGGACTGGAACTGTCAATTGTATGATAGTTGAATATTGGGCTAATGGACTCCATATTAGAGGGGTGGACAAATTCTATGGGGAAACCCATTAGAAGTCGTTCAAGGCCTCTAAGGAGGTAGTCCATGGGTTGCTTAGGGCCTAAGCAGTCAAATTAGGGTTTCCTTGTTAGATAACCCCAATAGCCTCACTATTTAAGGATCCCTAGAGCACCAAAAACGTGGTGAAGAGTTTCCTTAGGGTTTCTACACGTTTTTGGGTGCCTCCTCTCTTATCATACTTCATCCTCTTGCTCTTGGTGTTTGTGAGCCATTAGAGGAGTGACACTTGTGACTCTAAGCTTTCTAAAGCCAATTCAAAGGAGGATTTGAGATTGTTATTGCTACATAACAATCAAGGTAAGATCTAAACCCCAATCTTATGTTAATATGATTAATTGTATGCTAGATCTAGGGTTTATAGCTTTGGATATTCAATTCAATGTTCATTAGACAAACTAGATCCAAAAGCTATTAGGGTTTTCATGTACACCATTGGAATGATGTTTTGCTCAAAACCCATCACTAATCACATCTAATTTATATAGGAAAAAATAATATTGCCTATATATAATCACATGTGATTGTATACTAGAGAATAACCATTGAATCAAAAACGTGAAAACAAATCTTTGTCTACAGTAATCATATATTATTAAATACACGAGATCAATTATTGAAACGAAACTGCAGAAATAAATATTGTCTGCACAAATCATATTTGATTACATACATATAATCACATGTGATTATATGTATCTAGTCACATATGATTTATGTTGATAAGATTCATTATCGTGTTCTCGATTCAATAATTCTTCTTTGTCAATTTTAATCATATATGACTAAATAC